AAAAATCATTAGTTTAGGAGATATTTTAATTCTAACTTGTTAGGAAATCGTGACTTTCTGGTCATTATTATAAATTGCCCTAACTGAACAGCAAATGTTTTGTTACATGCTTTGAGAGGTCAAAGCAGAATATTTGAGTTGAGAATATTTGGTAAGATTTGTTAGAGCAAAAATATTATCTAACGTAATTTTCAACTGCTTCTGTGGCAGTCAACGTATTAAGGAAGAGTTTATGTTATCTTATATTAGTTTCTATTGATGTCCCACTATAATAGACATGTTATCAGTTTATTTTGAAGCTGGGAAAAGTGCTAAACATGCAGAAAGATTATACACTACGGAATGTTAGCAAGTCATTAATTTCTCGATTCAGAAAGTGTTCTGATGCAAATGGTCGCCACATTGAACCTTTTCTGTAAGTAGACATTAAAATTAAAATATCTCCTAAACTAATGATTTTTTCACATAAAGAGATTAATACTTTTTTGTAAAGAATACGATGGAGTATCAGCTGATGCAATAAAAAATACATGATTCCATTTAAAAAAACATTAATGACCTTCATATGTCCTTTACACGTCCACCTACAAAAAAATATACCACCAACATATGCTCCTCTCAATACCATTCAACTTCATCTGAAACATTGTTTGCAATGAGTAATAATAATGACGCAAATCTAGATGGCAAAATATGGTGAGCCACCCTGTATAGATTTACCGAATTTTCTATAAAATTCTGCAACTTTCTTTTCGTTTGGAGTTTTTATATGTTTCAGTGAAAGTAGTCTGAGCAACAGGTAATTATGAAAAAGTTGATGAGTGTTGTTATATTTCTTTTCGAAATTGTTATGAGAAAATATAAACGGAGTATGTTATGATAGGGCTGCGCAGTAAGGGTGCGCGTGACAAGTCGTGAGTTGGTCCTTCAAGCAAAGTTCGCAGTCTGCCGGTAACCGCGCTTCGTGAAACTTTATTTCCCATCAAGTGGCAAATTTTCGAGATGTTACTAACAAGTGAACGAACTGTTATTATCGCCTAACGCAAGTCATCGCGATGCGAAACGTTCCGTGCTGTGGGTTCGAACCCAAACAGAATGACGCGTCGCGATCGCAATCCAGGATCGATGGTAGTTAATTAACTGTTACCTTATGTAATGGATGGTTGATGAGCGTGAAATTACCCTGTAAAAGGACTGATTGTGTACGATTGATCGCTGATTAAATATGTGACGATTAACGTAGACAGAACGCAAATGCAGGGACGCTGAGGAACGCGTGAAACGTTTGTGCGATAACTGATTTTATAATTCGAATGATTTGTTTTGTGTTGAGGAAACTCGAAGAAAAGAGTGAGATGTGAAAAGTTTCGTAAACGATTTCTGATACGACAATATGAGATTTCAGTTTGCAGAAAGGCAGTTGGTAACAAATCCTGAAGAAAAAGAATATGCTGCTGGAGGATCGTATAGGTTCATCACAAGGTGAGAACTTTTGCGCTTTTACTCCTACTCCTGTTAGAAACTTTTGCTCCCTTGTTGAAACTTTCAACTGTATCAGGTTGCACGACATGTACGTTTCGGAATAATTCATAAGGTATCGATTTTATTGATAAAAAGTCTTTATTTATTTATTCTTGTCTTAACAATAATTTAGCGAATTTAGCTAAATACTGTTAGCTAACACCGTTGTCTTAATTAATTCATGGGATTAAATTTAATATTTGACTAATTTGACTGATTCAATATTTGATCTCTGTTTAATTCAATCTCCATTTAAAAATTGAAATTTAATATTTCAGTTAGAGTGATTTAATGATCAAAGTAGAAATTAAAATTTAATATTTGATTACTTTCTTTAATTTAACATTTAATCTTCATTTAAGGAATTAATTTTTATTATTTAATTAACTTGATTGATTAAACACTTTGTATTCCATATTTAATCAATTTTTATAAAGATTTATGAGTCTCATATTTTAACAATAATAATTTTAATTATTCAATTACAATTTAAGTGGTATTTCAAGATTGACTTAATTGTTAAAAATTACTGTTGAATGATCTTTTTATGATTTTAGAAAAAAAATATTGAAAAATATTGTAAAATATTTAAAAAAATATTTTTAAAAATATTAAGCTACAAAATATTGAAAAAAAAATTGAACTACAGCATATAGTTAAATAATATTTAAATATAGTAAATAAATCCTAAAACTTGCATATACAATACAGAATTTGTTTATAATATATAGTCTGTACTTCAGTTACTCAAGCAAAAAATGAAGAGATTGATTTATTACTTTTTTATGAAGCCCAAACAATTGGATGATTACATTCTTAATTATAAAATAGGTTGTTTAATGTCCAACATTGAGATTGACACGATGACTGGTGAATTTCTATTTGCAAATAGAATCAACTATTTTATTACCAATTCACCGTTATTATAATTAGATCATTTTTAAATGTTAAAATTGCAGCAACAAAATTACTTGTATGATTGATGAAACTTAAAGCTACTGAAGAAGAATGATGTGCAGAGCGCTTCGTAAAACATATTTACTGTGAAAATTGCATTTCTCTGTTCTAGAAAAATAATTTTCTATCTGGAACTTCGTGACAAAATATAAATAATTAAAAATTGATATGTGTAATTATCTTGTTAGAAAATTTCATTAACAGTTAATGGAATTTAAATTTAAATTTAAATTTTAAAAAATCGAGAAATTTGATAAAATACACTCTCGTTATATTGCCATTATTGTCCATGAAAATTCGAGAAATAAAAAAATCAAGGAATTTGATAAAATACAGTGAACTCTCGTTATATTGCCATTATTGTCCATGAAAATTCGAGAAATAAAAAAATCAAGGAATTTGATGAAATACAGTGAACTCTCGTTATATTGCCATTATTGTCCATCAAAATTCGAAGAATAAAAATATCGAGGGATTTGCCATTAATGTCCGCTAAAAGTAATTTTAGAATTTTAAATTTTCGTAGAGTAATATGTTCTTAAAGGTAACATTTCAAAAAAATAAAAGAACGGTTTTATTTTCTTTTTCGAGCGATCCCTAACCGGAAGCATGAATTTCTCATGCAAAAACGGTCATGTGCGGTCCGCACGAGGCTGACATATTTAGAAACCAGTAAGGAAAATAAATTCTTACAAAATTTCTTAGAAGATGGGATATATACTCAAATATTTACTGTTCTGTATTAACATGATATATTAATACACTGAACGTTGTAAAAATAATGTACAGCATTTAATACTAATAAAAAACAGGGTAAAGATAAATAAAAAACAAAAGGCTGAAGAAAATTGAATTCCAATTATTATTATAAAGTTACGGATGTAAATAGCCTGTGTAATTTCGAAACTTTTTCTCCTAAAAATGGAGGGTGAGTTTAATAACTGGGCCAAGCTATAACTCTGTCCTATTGAACAAGAGAAAAAATGGTCGAGAATATTTTGCATCATAGACGGAACAAAACAAAAGCGAAAACTAAATTGCAAAAGGCAACGTAACTCCATTTGCTTTACAAACTGAACTGTGCAATCATTCTCGCATGAGGTGGTTCTCCACGCAATTCTGAATAAAACAAGTGTTGGGGTGTAGTACAAAAGTCAACAGTTTGACATATTGTGAAATAAATATTTAGACATTCTATAAAATAAATTAAAATATTTGAAAAACTTCAAATCTCTTTGACATATTACTGTCGTATATATTTGTTTATTGTATTTTGATTAATTGTATTTTAATAGTGAAACGTCGAAGTGATGTAAACGCTTTGCTGGCATGTAACTCCGCCATGTTGATTTGCATCGAAATGGCGGCAAAATTCAAATCAGTCATCATATCATATTGTAACGAAGATATAAATTGATTATAAATTACATGGATGTTGGATTATAAACAATTAAATAATTGCTATTGTTTTTACTTGATCTTGTTGCATTTATTTTTTAGTTTGGAAGATGAGTAATAATAAATAAATATATTTAAACAAACAAATCTATCAAAAGCAAAGTAATGTGATATTAAAAATTTACAGTATTTTGGGAAAATAAAATAAAATTGACATTAAATAATTATATAAATAAAATTAATAAAATTAATGTTATTACAAATGGTAAGAAATATTTTCTTACTTCAAAAATATTATTTTGGTAAAATTATTACATTAATCATGTCACTTGAAATTTGTTTATATTTGACTAAAATATGAACATTAAATTTTAATTTAAATATGTTTGTAATTAGCACATTTGTTTATATTAAATATGTTTATATTTAACACACTTATGTGCATTAAATATGTTTATATTTTATACGTTTATATATTATTTTAAGTTGCAAATTTGTAACATCCTGCAAGAAATAATTTGCAAAAAATGAAAGACTCAACAATTTCAACTAATCTATAAATAAACATCTATTAAAAATTATTTTCCGCAAACGACTGTCAACTGAAAATAAATGAACGATAAATTATTTTCAGCAAATGAAGTTTTTAGTCAACAAAAGCGATACTAAAGGAAGTTCGATTGACGGGCAATTATAAAATAATTCATGAAAATATTGATTCCGAGTGGATATTCAGCCATAGAAAATTCGATTGTGGCATTTAAAGATCTTAATAAACGTCTTGCAAATCTTGCTATTAAGAATACTGGAAAACCGTCAAGTTCTTATTTCCCTGCAAATTTAATGGACGTTTGATGGAATTCGCGTTTTAAAATCTAATTTTTTACCGTCGTTCTATGACATATTACTTCCGTTCTTAGGACACTCGCTTGTGCGTGAACCACTTACGTAAGGAACGAAAGTTTGTTACGTCACAGCTCGCAGCAATGAACCGCGTAATTTGAAACAGAATAGGTAAGTTGATATAGAATTCAATTTTCGAAAAGTTAATTAAATTGATTCGATAAGCTTTATTGTATAAGATGACAACAGTTTTGACAGGTTTATATCATGCGTTATTACGATAACGTTAATAGAAATGATTAAATCATTATGTAATTCTGCCCATCCAATGATAGATTCAGAAAAACTAAAATAATTAAATAATTTGAAAAATTAAACGTACCGATAATTTTAAAATAATTTTATCTTTTTTGTGACGTATGTTAAATTATTTAATGTATGAATTTTTTAATTAATATATTAAGAAAAGCTCTCAAGGTTTAAATTTGAAATTATTGTTTTAAAATTGATAAATTAAATTTTAAAGTGTGCCTGCCACCTTGTCCCTGCTCGAGCATTGCAAACGCACCCTTAGAAACGTTTCTCGGTTAGAAACTTAATTAACCGAACATGGGAACAGTTTAATCCGCTAAACAGAAATGGCATCCAAAAATAGCATAAATTTGAACGGCGAAGTAATTTTGCTTGGCTGATTCTGTTACCTCGTTGAAATAATTTTTAGCTAAGTGCCGTGTTCGCAGCTGTAAAAGACACTTATTCTTCGTTGCGAGATCAAAGAGGGTAAAGAGAAATGGCGCTATTCCTCTCCAATATAGACGATTTGTTATACTTTTATATTTTTAATCAGCATTATTTAACTAGTATTATATACAATACTATATTTTATATATAATGCTATATTGTATTTTATATACAGTACTACAAATATTGTTCAGTTACTTTGCTGGAAGTACAACATTTAAAATATCAAAGAATTATTGCTTGAAAAATTGCAAAAATTTTCAATTTCATAATAAAGTACAAATATGCAATTTTTTATTCCATTTAGCATATTGTAAAAATTACTGTGTATATCTATATCAAGTTGTAAATCACACAGTAATCTATTCTCATCGACAAACCATGGGAATAACAAACGTTGCACAAATATTGATACAATGATATTGGAATGAAAAGAATTTATTACCTCATCAGATTTATTATTTCATCGACTTATTCATCGTTCGTCGAAAGAGCAAAATTGAAAAAAATAGTCGATGCAATTTTTAATTGCATTCAATAGACAATGTTTTATAAAATCGAAGAAAATAAAGAGTAGACGTCTGGGGGCCAATGATTATAGCAGTTGAAGCCTACATAAAATCAATCAATCAATTAGACGTCTGGCTACTTTAATAAATACTTTAATAAATCAAAGAAAGTACAAAATCAAAAGAGAAGAGTCTGATTACATTTAATAAACAGAAATGATATTCGAAATTGAGTCATTTGTAATGAAAACGTCTTCCGGTACACACTTCTATTTGTTCCTTGCGTTATCAAAAAGTGAATGATATCCTACTTTCCGGATTTAGCCCCGTGTAGTTCCATTTCGTTCTGTGAATTGAAAGGAATCACGAAGGGTCATCATTTCTGATAAAAAGTGGCTCATGTTCTAAGAGGTAAGAACCTCGAAGGTTGCTGACGAAGATGGAGGGGTGGAATAAATATAACCTCATATGAAAAGAAAACTTACCCCGAAGAAAATACGCCGTAATAATAAT